GCCGCTCTCGCCTCCGCGGAGCGGCCGGTGCCCGCGCGATGCCCGCGCCGCTGCCGCCCACGCAGCTGTACCCGTCGGAGCGCGTCGTGGTGCTGCTGTCCTGCGCGCTCTCCTTCGTGGGCTCCAGCCTCCTGGTGGGCACCCATGCCCTGTGGCCCGAGCTGCGCAGCCGCCCGCGCCAGCTCCTGCTCTACCTCTCGCTGGCCGACCTCCTCTCGGCCCTCTCCTACTCCTACGGGGTGCTGCAGGACTTCAAGAAGACCTCGTGGGACTGCGTGCTGCAGGGCGCCCTCTCCACCTTCTCCAACACCAGCTCCTTCTTCTGGACCATGGCCATTGCCCTCTACCTCTACATCACCCTCGTGAGGGGCTCGCCCACGGGCACGGGCTTGCTCTGCTGCTTCCACGTGGTGAGGTGGGTGCTGTGGGTGCTCCCACGGGTGCCCCCTGCTCCGTGGCAAAGCCCTGGGGTGGCTGCTCGAGCGCCTGCTCTTTCCTGCAGGATACAGTGCCCTTCTCAAGTTCCTTTTCAGCGAGGACTACTCGGCTGTCGCTTGGCTGATCAGCCCTGCTTAACCCTCGGAGGGAGAAAAGGAGACGTGGGAAAAGTTAAAATGATTTGATTAAGGCTGTGTGAAATCCTCTGGCAAGAGACAGACCGTGGAGGTTCTGGTTCTACTTTTCCTCTGCTATCCTAGCACTAACATCCCCACACTCTGCCTGCTGTACCTGATAGTTGCTGCTGAAGTTCCCCGCTTGAGATCCGTTTCCAAACCTTCCCAGTCTCCGGCTGGTCTCTATTTCCTCAGCTTTCCCCAGTTAGGTTACTGCAATCCAATCCTTTTAGGAGAATGTAGCCTGCGAGTGAGGGGGCTGCTAGAACAGCACGCGGAGGTTGTTTGGGCTTGTTTGATTGAAAGCAAGACAAAACAGCCCACAGAGCAGCTTTATGTCACGGTTTCTGCTACTTAGCTGATTTTCCACATCATGTTTAGTAAAAGCTTTCATTATGCAATTTGAGCTTGTGGAGTCATGTGCTACCTCCTCACGGAGCAAAACAGTGATCCCTCAGTCCTCTGTGCTGCCAGGCGCTTATAATATGTTCTAAGGAGAAGGATGTGTATTAAAAAAAAAAAAAAAACGCAGCAAGCAAAGTAATGAAATTTCTTTGGTCTGTTTCTGTCAGATCTGCCTAACTGTCAACTTTTATTCCCAAACAGCATCATTTGGGAGATGATTGAGTTAGAGCTGAGTCCAGGTGGGCCATGGGGAAAAACATGCAGGCTAAGTGGGAATCGAGGAGGAAACTTGGATTCTTGCCCTACCTGTTTTTAATTACTGCCAGGTCTGCATGTGAGGAAGCCTAGGGCGCTTGCGCGTGCGTCCGGGTAGACCAGATTACTCTTGGTGAAATCAGTGAGATGATGTGGGGATTTTGGCTTTTTCTCTCATTTCAAGTGAACAGGAGGTTGCACCGTGTGATGCTCCTGGAGAAAAGGGAGTGAGGGCAGAGCTGCCTGCTGCTCCGGGAGCAGTGAAGGAGCCTTGACATCTCCAGGCTCTTCCTGACTGCACCGGGAGACATCAAAGAGGAGATGCAAATCCAGCAAACTTGTAATTTTCCTGTCTGCTCATCACCAGTTGGGTGACCTTGGGCTGTGCTTCAGTTCTCCATCTGCTCTCATACTTCTCAGCCTCACTGGATGCACAGAGGGGAAAGAAAGTTAGCAAGACTCATAGAGTACTGTTGGTCATAATCTGTGCAGTCCTCTAAAAATGTAAAAAGCCTGAAAGATCTCACTAACCCTGGAAATTCAAACTGCATTTCCTCTGAGTACATTTCCTAGGTTTTATTTTCAGGTCTTTATAGTGTTTATTTATTAAAAAAAAATAGGAACTGTTCCTGCAGGGCTGTCTTGGTATTACTCAGCTCTATTTGCGCTCTATAAAAGGCAAAATAGATAAATTTCATGTAAGTCCAATTGAGTTCTGCTTCAGAAATAACTCCTGTTCTTTGCAGAGCCAGATCTCCTTTGCAGAACTCCTGTTCTTTGCTTTCTGCTGCTTCCTGCCTTGCAATCTGTATGAGAAGCCAGAGAAAACAAGTGAGGACCTGCCCTGTGCCCATCCCTTTGCAGCAGCTCTTCCTTTTTCCATCCCTGCATTTGCTCGTATTACCTGTCAGTAGAAATCGCTGCAACTGGTATGAAAAGACTTTGGTACCGAGGGTCGATGAGCTGCAGAAAGGTGGAGCAGCAGGGCTATGGGGGCGAAAGGAAAGGTGGCAAAGGCCAGGTGCTGCTTTGGGGATTAAAATATGATAGTTTCCATTATTACTGAGGTCTAAAACAAGTTTGTCTAGGGCAGAACCTGGGATTTCTTTTCTCTCCACGCTGTAGCTCGCCTCTGTAGCCGTTGCACAGTGAGTGTTGTGTGAAGAGCTGCCCCATGAGCTGCTTTTGGAAGGGGTACAAGGCAGCAGGGAGCCTGGTCGTGCCCAGGTTACCTCCTCCCAAGCAGCTACTCATAGGCAAGTGTTTGGAAGGATAAATGCCAGGAATGTTCATCTCTTGTGCTTCCTTCTAACATTGAGTATAACCAGAGCCTGTTCTTTAGCTGAGCAGAGCTGGCTAAATATATGTTGGAAGCCAGTGCTTGAAACGTTCTTTTTAGGGAACTGGGAAGTCACCCCAGGTGAAATCTGCCAGACAGGCTGGGTGGTTCTTGATTCATGTGGTAACACATGCACAGAGAGCCTGTGCTTGAGAGCTAGGTTGAAGAAGCCTCCTTATCCAGGCGTTGTTTTGTTTTTAAATTTGCGTTGAGCTCCAATGAGCTTTGAAAACAAGCTTACATTTGGCTCTGGAAATATTTATGGAGTTATAAGCTGCCAGTTCTGGCATCCTGAGCATACATTTCCAAGCTACCTCAGTTGTTTTGAATTTCTGAATATCATGTATCGTTCAGTTGGGCAATGTTTTCCCTGCCGTGAGTATAGCCGACCCAAACTTTGGGTGAGGAATGGACTGGATGCTGCTCCAAGATTGCTCCACGCTTCATTTTTGATAGCAGTTGCTGTTCACTTCAATGTTTGCATTTCATCAGGCCCTGCAGACATAAAGCACAGGGAACGGAGGCACCTGTGCACTGCTCGAGCTTCCCCACGCTGCCTGCATTTAAATCTGTGTCCTTGCTCCTTCTGAGGAGCCATCCTGCAGAATTACACTGGCTCTGGGGCTCAGAGAGGAATGTCCCCAAGCCAAGTGAGTGAGCCTTGCCTGGCCGCGTTGCTTTTTACTTCTGTGTCTCTTCAGGAGCAAAATTGAGGCTGCCTAATGCTTCCTCTGCTCCTCCCTTCCAGACAGGTATGAACCTTTGATGCTTTTGAGTCTTTGGGGGTCTTATATGTCCTCCAGAAGTCCTCAAAAAGTCTAATTGCTCATCTCAGTCTTCCTTTCTAGATTTCTGTCCTCCAGAAGGACAGATGTCCTTCCTTAAAAAGTCCTTCCTTAAAAAGTCTAATCGCTCATCTCAGTCTTCCTTTCTAGATTTCTAAAATACTTCTAAACAGGTTGGAGTTGAACATCACAGAAACACCTGATTATTTTTAAGTGATGCTGACCTTTAAGAGGGGGAAACAGCATGATTTTGAAGTCTAACATTGTGAGATTGTTTTTGATTTTGAATTGGTCTTTGGAACGTGACAAGAGGGACTTGGTTTGAGTCTGAGGGATGTGAAAGTGCTGTGAGAAGCGGAGTCCTTCCTGGGTTCTCCGAATGCTCAAAGCTGCCTGCGAGGATGAGCACAAACCAGAAAGGTGATGAGCACCACGGCGTTGGTTTTGCATTCTCGGCATCTGAAGAGACCAGGGGATTTTCCTGGAAGCTCAGCCTGGGCTTTCCCCGAAGCATGTGTGTCGCTTGCTGAGGAACTGTCCCTTGTCCCAAGAAGGGACCTTTTTCTGAGGACAAATGCGGATGGGCAGGTGGTGCTCTTGGCTGTGTTTGGGCCAGGATTTTGGCCTTGGGGTGATCCGTGAGCAAACATCACGAGTTAGAAGGGCCTGTAAGGTGCTGGTCTTCAGGAAGAGAGGTGTATTTTATGATTGGGTTCATGAAATTTTTCAGTTCTTGTGCATAGATTCTTGCGGGCAGCCCAAGCTGCTGGCTCTTAATTCATGTGTGTTACCACAGTTGTTTTTCTTTTAGAAAACTTCCCTATATTTGCCTCTGCTGTCAAAAGAAGTCAGAGTCAAAAAACTGATTCCAAATTAAATGGATTTGACTTATCCCTGCTTTTATTTTCTTTTGTTGTTACAGTCAGTTCTTTTCCTTTTGGAAGAAACCTTCCTGTTTTCCTTCAGAAGCGACCCTCTTGCTCTCAAAGTACCGGATATACTTTTTAATTTAAAAATGATAGAATAAAATTGTGGGTGGTTTTTTATTTTTGTTTTTTACTGGACTAAGTATTGGTTCCTGTCTGAAGAACCCCTTCGTGGTCGTGCATTTTTCCTGGGGTGCAAAATGACTAAACTGAGCGTGTTCTTGGCTTAACCTTTCTCTTGGCTTCCTTCCCCAGCTGGGGAGTCCCCTTGGGCATCACGGTGGCTGCCGTTGCTCTGAAGAAGATCTGCTACGACGCTTCCAACGTTTCTGTTGGCTGGTGTTGGGTCGACCTGGACGCCGAGGACCGGGTCTTGTGGATGCTGCTAACGGGGAAGGTTTGGGAGATTTTGGCCTATGTGACTTTGCCGGTGCTCTACATCCTCATCAAGAAGCACATTAACAGAGCGGTGAGGACTCTGCTGCTTCCTACCTAGCTTACAGTCTTGCTATGTGATTATATTCCTGTGTGTTTTAGCAGCTGCAGGAATTGCTGCTTGTGCTGCTGAAATGCATCCGCTACTGGGAGGAGCTGATCCAACAACCTGGAGCATCGTTTCCCAGTGATTTAGCCCAGGAACAACAGAAAAACCTTTTGAAAGCTTAAGTGCCTATGGGATGTATGTGGGTGAAAAGTAAATCCTAGAGTAAGACTTGAAACAGGATGTAAAGGACAAAATTCAGCTTTAATTAGGCTCTTACACGGTTCCACTTGTACTGGGCCTCAGTTTGGTTTCTGGGCTTGCCTGCCCTTAGTCATTGGAGGATCTTTAATGATCTCATGCGTTCGTGAGTGCTGTTTTGTACTAGCAGTGTGAATCCCCCTCTGGGAGCCTGAGCGCTGTAGTATTAAGCACGTATGAAGAAGCAAAACAGAAAGACACCCTGCCCTAGGGGCTTTCATACTACAGAGCATTATTTGCTGTTACTACTTGGGAACACAAAGAATCCAAGGATCTGGGACAATATTTACATAATACAGAAATGAAATCTTCATTATGAGAATAGTAGAAGGAACATCCAGAGTTGTGGGGGCTTTTTTCTTCCCTGTAAGTTGCATTGAAAAGGGAGAGAAAAGAAAAGGATGAATCTTCTTTTGGAGAACGCTGCTATTGCCAGGCTTGTGAAGCTGTGGCTGTAGTTGAAGATAAGAGTGCATCTGTTTAGGGCAGGATCCCACAAATGAGTTGGAAGCAGAAGCAGTTTTGAGCTCTGGTAAATACTGGAAAGCCAGTCCCGAGGGTGCTGGGACAAGGGGTTTGGGAAGGGCTTGCTGGTGCCAGTCACCCGCCATAAATTCAACAGGACTCCGTGTTCCTGCAGCTGTCGGAGACACCGTGACGGGCGGGAAACCCGATCCCTGCTGCAGCTTCTGCCCTTACGCTGCCACCGGGATCCTGGGCTGCCCTCCCGTCCGTGCTCCCCCATGGATCCTCCTCTGGCTCCCGCAGTTGCTTTGAGGGCTGGAGCGGCAGCAGGGCCTTTGGGGCAGGAGCACCTTTGTCATCACTGGGCCCAAGCTCCTTTCCTGTTAAGATTTCTCCCATGGCCAGGAAGGAGGAATGGGCAGCCAGGGCAGGGCTTGGCGGTGTATTAAAGGCTAACGTGGATGTTGCAGCAGTGTCCGTTTCCATTAGCAAGGGCGGAATGTGCCTGGATATCTGTGCTGCATCACTGCATCCCCCTTAACATCTTACAAGATGCAAAGAATTAGCTGGCTATGGAAATAATCTATGGAGCTGAATGCTCACTGTGTGTAGCTCTCTGTTCACTCTCTCTCTCATCCCTTCCCCTCCATGGAAGCATGCAGCCCTGTCAGAGTATCGCCCCATCCTCTCAAGTGCACCTGCATTTCAGCCCCGGACTTCCATAGCAGATAAGAAGTTGATTCTTATTCCCGTCATCTTCATCGTCCTCCGCATCTGGAGCACCGTGCGGTTCATTCTGACACTCTGCAACTCCCCTGCAGTGCAAAATTCGGTCCTTGTTGTCCTGCATGTAAGTATATGCCTGGGAGAAGATAAGGCCGTGTTGCTCTAGATACTGCTTTTGCACCTGGGTGCAGCTTTTGCAGATAAAACACATGCGTGTGCAGGTTGCAGTAGCATCTGCCGCCTTGCGTCCAGCACCTACGGGGATGCAGGGTAGCTATTTCAGCAGCATCTAGTGGTCAGAGACTCTAATTGCAGGAGGGGAGTTGGAGTAATGCTGGCTGTGAAGCAAAAGCAGCCTCAGAGCAGATGTGTTGGGGTCTGAATTTTGGGGGCTGCTGCAGCTCACCTGACACCTCTATATCTTGCAGCATCGCTGTGGGACAGGCAGTGCCGTCCCGTTTGCCTTGGGTGCGAGGTTGACTTCCCAAATCTCCTTTTCTCTCACAGTGGAAGTCGGTGGCTGTTGTGCAGCCGTGTGCCCCAACAGGGTGATTTTTGCTCTTGCCCTTGCAGGGAATCGGTAACACGTTCCAAGGAGGCGCCAACTGCATCATGTTTGTGCTCTGCACGCGCGTGGTCCGCGCGCGGCTGCTCTCCTCCCTGTGCTGCTGCCACCACGACGGCTCGAGCTGGTCCTGGCACAGGTCCGACAGCGAGCGGCAGCACCCGGAGCGCTGCAGGAACAGGGATGCGCTGGACCCCGAGCGGACGAGACCGCTGCTCTCCAGCACCTGATGCCGTCGCCTCAGTGTGGATTTCATCCTTTGTGGTAAAAAACAGGGAGCTTTTTCTCAAAAGCTTTTGTAGGAGTGAGCTGTGCTGCTGTCTGCTGCTCCAGGTGTAAAGTGAGGAAATAGGCAGCAGCACCATGTGGCCTATGGGGACGGGACACCAGGAAAGTCATCCTCCAGTCTCTAGATGACGTTACATATGGTACAAGGTAGCACCCAGGGAGACTCGAAGAGAAGGAACTGGGGGTTCCAGATAATGTGTCTATGTGCATGGTACTCCTTTTCTTCTGTACTTGATATTTCAGAAATATTTAATGCCCAAATATTCTTCGCAGAGTAGTGCAATCCCTGCTGCTGCATGTCCCAGAGGGGAAATAGAGTAAATGACTCATCTAAGCTCATGTGGAAGAGCTGTAGGAACAAAAGCTTGACCTGACAGAAGCTCTTTGAGGTCTGGGTGTGAGGTCGGACACTGGGCAACAGCCTTGCCTTGTTCTGTTTGTTTGTGCATCATGTTTGCTTGGACCTGACCTCATGAATGATAACTACAAATAATTATGCTTAGTTATAAGTTAGCTGTTAGCAATAGCAGTGAATTAGCAGTTAGTAGTTACACTTACTCTGCAGGTCACTGTGCCACAGGGCTGGGGAAGGTGACAAGCCCATGTGGGTCATGAGGACAGCAGGGGTTAAGGATCCTGCAGAGAAAGCTCTGTTATGTGTGATAGGTCTCCTACAGGCTTCTGCTTCTTGTTCTCCCTGACCTCAAAACCTGAAAAAAAGTGTGTGGTGTTTTTTATTTTATTTTTAAAAACAAATTGGCAATTCTTTTTAATTACTATAAGTAGCTTTTCCTTAAAGGACAGGAGGCCTGTGGAGCAGGGGCAGCTGTTCCACTGCCCCAAGCACCCAGCTGTCCCCAACCCTCCCCTGCTGGGGTGACTAAAGCTGAACCCGTGCTCAGTGGTGCAGGGGTCTCGTGGGACTGGGCAGGTTTGAGTCTTGGTACTTCCTTTCGTGAGGACGGGGAATTAACTTTATTGCAGTATTAGTATTTCTGAAGTCCTGTTATATGCAGAGGACTAAGTGTGAAGTTCTCAGGAACTCGCTAGCCCCTCTCAAGGGGCTGGAGAAGGACTCGCTTCTTGGCCTCTTAAGTGCAGCAGCTCTTTCTTCTGGCACAGATGACTCCAAGTTTTGCTTCTGTTGAAGAGTTTTTAACCTTCTGACAGCTGGATAGCAACAAAGAGGAGCTGTGTTAAAATCTTTTCATGTAGAAAAGCTGGGTGGTAAATCTTAAAAATGAGAGATTTAAACTGTGCTACCTTTGGTTGTTTGGAGACAGGCCTGAAGACAGGAAGTAACATTTCACTTAGCTGGGTGTTAAAGTATATAAAAAAGGAAAGAAAGTCCTTATTCTCAATTCCCTTTTTCTTTTTGCACAACAGCAGAGCTCTGAGAACTGCTTTTGTGGGAGTATGCGAAGCTGCACCCTGTGCTTCAGGGACTGGGGGAAACAGACTGGTTTGTAAACGTATCAGCAATAGCACCAGTGCCAATACAAGAGGGAAATCTCTGATTGTGGAAATTTTCCTGTAGGAAAGGCTGGAGAAAGGAAAGCAGCCAACAGAGAAAAGCCTGGACGTGTCTTTAATGCCTAATATTGAAGCTGCCCCAGGCAGCGTGCAAACAGGGTGGGATGATGTGGCTGGCGGTGAGGGGAAGGGTCCAAGCTGGTGCTCAGGCTGTCCTGGCCATCCTTGCAGGACTGTGTTTTATTTTGAGCAGGTGCAGGATGGTGCTGGAGTCCCCTGGAGGGAGCTGGAGCCTGGGGAATCACTGGAGTGACTGAGCAAGCGGAGGAGGTCCCTGCTCCTGAGCATGCGGATCCTGGCTCCTGCCATCCTGCCGTCATGAACTTTGCTCGGGTCTCCTGGAAGGTGCTGTTGGGTGACACTCCAGCTTCGTGGCTTTCTTCCTTCTCCTTCCTCTCTATCCTCCACCACAAACTCTTTGGAGTTCGGCTTTCCTGTCCGAGGTGTCCCGGGGAGAGCCAACGCCATGGAGATAGGAAATGCTGCTGTCCAACTGCCCTGGGCCTGGCTGCGAGTGCTGGTGTGAGAAGCCCTCCAGGGCCTCCGGCCTGGCTCCTGCTCCTCACCTGGATGTGACAGACTGCAAGGTGCCTCCTGGCAAGGACGGACAATTCGCCTCGATGTTCTGTTCCCCCTCCTTGGTGGCAGAGGGGTCCTTGTGGTCGGTGCTTGTGGTGGCAGCACCCGTGTTACCTCTGGAGAGAGCTGAGCTCTGGCCCTCGGTGCTGAGGGCCATTTCGGTGCTCCAGGATAGCCCTTGCCAGCAGCAGGGGCAAAGCGTTGCCCGGGACATGCCCTGAGCTTTGGGCATTCTCTGCCCAAGCCCAGGCTGGGGATCTGCTCCTTCTCCAGGAGCATAAACTGGAGCTGGGAGGGGATGTTGGTTTGCTGCTTGGAGATAATCTCACCTTGTTTACAGTTCCTCACTCTAGCTGGTTTTAAATATTTTCTCCAACTTTGACAAAATAAAGCTTTATTTCCTTACTGAGATGTTGTTCTTCAAGCGTGTTGGGATGAACCTTGAAGAGCTGGAATTGGGGACTTGCAAGATCGGCGCGTGGTGGGCTTGTTTTGCTCGGCCTCCGCTCCCCTTGTGGCTGGTGCCTCGCAAACACATGAGAAAACAAATGTGCAAATGTGAGTTCCAAACTGCACCTCCTTCAGAAACAGGCCAGGCTTTGAGATAAGTAGGAATTATGATGGAGAGAGCTGCAGGCTTCCCAGGATTTCCCAGCTGGGAAAAGATGTGTATTTCTGCGGTGGGGAAAATCTTTTAGCAGGCGGCAGCAGAGTGACTCCTCTGAGGTTGCCATGTGATTCCAGCCTCTGAATGAACTTTGCTCAGAATAGGTTAAAATTTTGCCAACCGTGTCCAACAGCTGGAAGCAGCCGAGACCCCTGGCGCAATGAGCGCGGCTGGACCTTGGCTCTGCTCAAACGGGTTGAGCAACAGCGTCTGTGCCGGGCTTGCACAACGCTCCCCATCTGTGAGGGCTGTTCTTGTGGGTTCCAACTGTGCCCAAATTTAACCGTCTGTGCTGGAAAGGTTCTTCCCCCAGCAGGAGGGGAAAGGGGTCCTCATGCTGCCCAGGACAGGCACATGTTCTGCAGCTGTAAAATGTGTTTTATGGCTCTGTGTGGGGTTTTGGCCGCTCTGCAGCGTGTTGGGTGTCAGTGCGTTGCCTCCTGTCTGCCTTGTGAGCCTTTAAAGCAAATGCTAGTTTGTCCATGAGGGGTTGCCCTTCGGTTTTGCCATCCTAGATGTATCCATTCCTTCCCTGCCCTTGTCCTCTAGAGCTCTGACACTCAGTGTGCTCCTACCCGTGGACTAGGAGGGGATGGCAGAGGGAAGAGCTCCCTGTGTTGCTTTTTGCAGCTTTTAGGGCCTTTGAAGTTCAGAGACAAACATTCTGAGCATATGAAGAGGGAAATAGCAGGGTGTATGGGGAGGGTGGCAGCTGCCTCTGCTAGACTATGATAGTTTATAGACTATTGCAGTCCTGCCTGGGGAAGGGCAGGATGAAAAGCTCGGGCTGCAAAGTGGGGGAGCTCCTTAAGTAACAAGAGCTGGAAGGAAAGTGGGTGATGAAGATGAGGGAGGACTTGGAGTGGTGGAAGGGGAGGACAGAAAGTTCCTGCAAGCGTTTCAAGATGGGCTTTTCGTTGCAGCTTGTGATCTTTTGCCCACAGTGGAGCAGTGGGCTGTGTGGAGGAGGCAGGAGTGGCACATGGGGGCAAAATGGAAGGAATGAGAGTTCTGGGATGAGGGGAACGCACGGCTGGAGTGTGTTCATCTGACCCTCTTCCCCAGGGCAGGCAGTCGTTAGGATTTGGTGAGTTCACCCCTCGCTTGTGCATTTGCTGAAGCTGATCTGGTTGTTGCAAAGCCCCATTCCTGTTGGCTCTCCCCAGCCGCCCCACAGCATCTTCCCCTTTGTCCTCTGATCTCCAATTCTAGGTGTGAACTGGATTCCAGTAGCACAGGAGACTTTGGGCAACACCTGTGTTTGTGGAAGAGAGAAGTCATGGCTTTAAAAAGCACATGTTAGAAAAGGACAATTTGCCTGTGCCTAAGGCAGAGGCTCATCTTGGAAAACAGATTTTTGGTCTTGCCTCTGTCATCTTCTCCCCTCCTCAGGAAGACCAGTTGCAGGTAGTCTCAGACTAGAGCTGATGTTTGGAAGACTTATGGTTGCATAATATCAGTGACTCCAGCTGCTCAGAAGAGGCATGAACGTTTATTGCGTTGTGCAGAACCCCACGTGTCTCAAGTCCATGCAAACCCTTAGAGAACTGCAGAAATCGATGCTGTGTGGTCTGAGCTGACTAAAAGGAGGTCTTGGCTGGCACAGCCGGTTTTTCTATCCTGAATAGAAAAATGAACCTACCAAGGTCTAAAAGAGCAGCTCGGGGATTTTCTGCAGTCAAATGCTTCTGCTGAACAAAGTGCAGAAGATGCTTTAATACGCAGGGATTCCCACACTCTTCTGAAACATCCTCAGGATCACACAAGCTGGATCACAATGAGGAAAGGACCAGACAGTTCCCAGACCATCTTATCTGAGCGTGTTACGGTAAGCTCACTGATCTCAATCTGTTCCTCTGATTTTATTTGGTGGATGAACGTGGGTTGTTGAGGCTCTTCTGAGATGATCTTTAAGGATAGCTACAAAAAAGGGAAGAAGTCTGGCTGGATTTTACCCAGCGTTTGCATTGTGAGGCAAAGGAAGGCCTCGTTTAGCTCTTATTTCTAGAGCCCCCTTACCTGCAAGGCCAGCTTGCTTCGTCCCCAGCGATCTGCCTTATTGCTAGGGTCGAGATTGGCCTGTCTGCCTTGTGCAGAGCTGGCTGAAAGCTCTTTGTGCAGCTAATAAGGCTAATAATGCAGAATCTGTGACTTGTTTGCAAGCAAATGACTTCTTATCTAAACTAGGATCTCGCCTTGAGGCTTCAACCATAGCTCAAGGTATAAAATGAGCCTTCAATAAAAACCCAATTCCTTCTGAAACTGCAGGGGTAAAGGACAACGCAAGAATAAATCTCATTTAGCTTTTTGTGAAGATGAAAAGGCTCCTAGTGGTAGTCAGTTCTGAACACGTGTTGTGTGGATGTCTCATTCTAACGGTGTCCTTACCGCAGGCGCCGTCCTCCGCGTGCTGCAGAGTGGCTGACTGCCAGCTCCTCACTCTAAACACCCTTTTTCCATTGCTTATTACTGATATTCTCAATTGTATCTTCTAGCTTCTGCTATCCTGGAAACTGAGCCTTGTCTCTGATTTCTTTTTTTTCTTCCTTATGCTAAGGAAATCTAATTTCTTGGAATCCAGCTTTCTGAGCACAGGCAGGGGGGAGGTACAAGCAATTCCCTGCATTTGTCCATGGGAATGATTCCATCGTGATGGACAAGTGCAAAGGCGGATGCATCGCTGAGCAAATATCTTGACACATTGGCACCCTGTGGGGGTGAAGAGCAGATGTCAGGAGCTCTTATACCTCAGTCCGTGCAGTAGCTGAAAGGAGAAACATGCCTGTAAAATGCCTCTTTTGCAAACCTCTCTGCTGGCACTGTGCTGGAGAGGAGATCTAAGCAAAGTGCAAGATGAACTCCCAAATACCAGTGTGGAAGCCACAATGTTGGCGTTGGGTGTGTGATGACATCCAACTGCCCTAAGAAAGAGCAGTTCCCTTCAGTCAGATATTGCATGAACCCTCAAAGACAGAGTTCCCAGCAAAGCCTTTTAAAAACACGAACAAAAATACTTAAACCCACAGGAAAAACAAATGAACAAACAACAACAACAAAGCCAAGCTGTTGCTGTTGCTCCAGCAGTGTTTCTCACTGGCTCTCGCGTTGCCCCTATGGACCTGGCAGTGACACATGGCCCTCTTGGTTCTGAGCTCTGTCTACTCGATATTGGCTCCTATCCTCTCAGCCCAAGTCCAACAGGAAATAACCTGTTGGAGCAGGCCCCAATTCTACCCTTGGAATTGCTGCGAAAGTCCAAGGAGAAGCTTCCCCTCGTTCTCCTGAGATTGCCCAGGTGCCAATTACTACCTTACACAGGTTGTCATCAGGATCCTGCTGTGGCTGGCAAATATTCAGTGTTCTGCTGTAGTAAGCAAATATTTGCACTGTGTCGAAGGGGTTCTCTTGGCAAATAACCATGTTCTGAGTGGTTTCCGTACATCAGGATTATTTTGGGTTTGAAAAGCTCAGAGAAGGAGTTCAGAGACCGTTTCACTATGACCAAGAGGACCCGTTCGGCGCGGTTACTCTGTGTCAGGGAGGATGTCCTTCTGCCAGCAGCTCTCAGCTGTGATCTGCATCTTTAATGGACAGGAATTTGTGTTGTGAAACACATCGGTCCTTCTTGCTGCTTCCCCAGCCCTGGGGCAAAATGGCTTATTTGGCTTATGTCTCTTCTGGCCAGAGACATAGATCATGTCCTGCTACCAATATAACATTCATATAAGCAGCTATAGCAAGTAAGTGTAAGTAGCTCTGTAAAAACAAGCGAGTCAGGCCAGCACCATCTGATCAACTGGTCTGCTTCTACCCACCAGCAGCTTTTGCTCTGATTTCTCTTCCTTTTAAAAACCTCTTTAGCCAGGAAAGGGGGGGAAATGTTTCACTACCTTGGGTTTCTTTTGCAGCTAGCATTATATCTGGTCCTACTGAGTGGTGATGAGTTGTGCTATTTGTATTTTGGTTTATGGACAGGATTGCCCATGCTGAATTTCAGCTTTCGTTGCTGAAGGCGGATCAACACAAAAAGTGTTAGATGGTCCTGTTTGTGAAAGCACTTAGCTCTTGAATGTTTAGCTTATACTGCATTGCTTTCCTTGAGGTCATGACTTTGATTAATTAGATAGTTATGGAGTAAATAACAAAGGGATCTTGAAGCAAAGCAGGATCCTCGGGGGAAAAATATATGGAAAATGCCAAAGCTAGCACTAGTTTGAACGTCCTGCTGTTCTGCGTGGTGTGGTTTTTGACCTGCAAAATATCTTCCCAGGAAAATCACCAATAGCTGCAATAGGCTTTTGAAGGGAAGGGGGTAGGAAAGCCAGAAGTCTTGACTTAATGCTTTCCCTTGGAGATAGGGGGTGCAACCACTCAGAAAACACATGCAGAATGCATGACCAACTCCTGCAGCTCAAGAAACACTTCTCTTTTCATGCTGCGTATCAGAGAGCCAGACCAATAACATGGTTTGTTTCCAGCTTTTGGAAGTATCTATGAACTTTGCATCTCTGATAAACTCTAGGAGCCCTGGTTAACTATTATCCGAGTCCTGCTCCGTTCAGAGTAGTATGAGGAGGGTAATGTTCAGTCCTTGCATGCACAGGGTACACTTTGCATATAGAGGAAAAAGAATTGGATGCTTAGGTATAAAAACCAAACATTTTCTGTGTGCTAGGAAGAGTGTAAACCTGAAGGGATGACCCTGTTCTCTGCAATCGCAGAAATGCCCTGAGCAAGTTGGTTTGTACAGGAAAGGATATTGCAGATCGGGGAGGGAGATGCAATTTGTGGCCATAGGAGGGTTAATGCAGCCCGAGCTTGTCACAGCCCATGGCAAAAACCCCGCTCTGTTGCCGGGCTATTGCATGTGTTTCCCACAGAATGCCTCATTCTCCCTGGAATTCGGAAGACAGCAGACTCGAGTGGCTGCATGGCAGGGGCATATTGGAATAAGGAGAAAAAAAAAAGAGAAAGATGCCAGGGATACTTAACTTTGGCCGAGGGTGCCTGTCGTTGATTGGGTGCTTCCTGAGAAGTTGTGGGAAGGATTTTCTGTCCATGTTGGCCGTTTCCGTTGCCTGCGTAATCTGTTTTGACTATAAAAGCCTGTGCTCAGCATCTGTGATCCAAACGCCAAAATGAAGTTGCAAAGGAGTAAAGAGAGCTCGCACTCCAGCGACGGTCCGAAGGGGGTGAGTATGCCAAGAGCCTGCTAATTCTCCCAGCTTTTGCTTCCTGCAGGGATCCAGAGCAGCCAAATTAACAGGTCCCTGCAGAGGAAAGAGAGGATCACATAGACTTCTGAGCTAAAATACCCACCAAAATCTTGCAGGGAGAGCAGAGTTGCCTGCATTTTTGGACCGAATTCATATTTGTGTGCTCAGTGGCATAGCACTGAATCAAGAGACTGTCTCCCTCCGCAGCTGAACTACCATGCAGCTTCTGTGTGATTTTTTTCCCCTTTTAAGTGTTTTCTTTCCTACTTTCTTATCAGTTTTAGGCTGTAGGTGCTTCTGTATGGAAACCGCCTTTCACATTCACGTTTCTGTGGACTCTTGCCCAATGCAGTGTTTGCAAATGGCGCAGCTTTCTCTGAAATGTTGCACATGAATCTTTAGCTCCGACAGCTCCTACGAGCTCCGGGTAGGATTTCTTTAACAGCAATAAAGCTGCCTGCTGTTCGTCACCCGTGCAAGGATGTCAACAGGAAATATAACTAGGAAATATAACCGAGCCTCAGCTCTCTCATGATCCTTGCTCCGAGACTCGCTTGCCTTTTCATCTCCTGAAGTCCCTTAAACTCTGCTGGTCTCTGTGTGTTGTTAGAGCTTCTGAAGAATATACAGAATGTAAAGGGGAGCAGCAGCTATTCAGAGAAATCTGCAGTTAAAGGCGTGACAGATCCTCTGTGTGGGGCACGAGACCTTGGAGACGCTGAGGCTAATGATGGTGACAGCAAACAGCAAGCTGCTGAATGAAAATGGACTTTATAGCCATAGCAGCAGTGTTGGAAAAAGCAGCTTGCTCAAAGCAGGGCTCGTGCCTGCCCCAGGGTTCAATAGCTGAGGAGATGCAGAAAGCAGGTGACTGGTCCCTGGGGACCTGGGGGGCACCTGATCCTGTGCCAGGTGGCAAATCCACTGTGTTCAACTGCAAAGTGCTCCAAGACATGAGGCCCACACTGAACTACGTGGATAGATTCTCATTTGCTTCAATGGCAACTGGATTAGACCCACGAGCAGCTTGATGCTGAAGTACGGGATCGATCCAAACGGGGAAAGCAGAAGTGCGTAGGAAAGGGATGTTGCCACTTCCTGCAAAATCTCTCATTTTAAAGACCTTTCTGTGTCAACATCCTGTTTGATTTCCCCAACCAATTTACACTTTGGAAAAGGAATAATTACATATAAGATTTTCCCTGCAGGGTGGTGCTTTAAATGTGATAACCTAAAAATGATTTGTCATCCTAATGATCAGCAATACCGGAAAAGAGTAGAATGAATTATTGTAATGACTGGGTGCAAATCAAGCAGAAAAAGTGAGTTATGGAAACAACCCATTGGGCGTTTTGATATGGTTACATGAAGCCAAAAACACAGAAAACAAGCCTTGAGATCTTCCTTTCTTTACTTTTATTCCATGCCATCTATGCCTAAAAGCCAAAGTTCCTTCTAAAGTACTTTTGGTATTATTTTTCTTTTTCCCCTGGCAGAAGATGACACTTGTGCTTGCATCGGTGACGCTGATATCTACGTTCGGATCCTCCTTCCAGTATGGCTACAACGTGTCTGTGATCAATTCTCCAGCGCCGGTAGGTCGCACTGCGGAGCGGACCGTGACCACTCAAATGGGCACAAGACAAAAACTGTCCTTCGAATCACTAGATACGTGTGAGAAATTTCCCAGGGAAGAGGTAATATTAGAGTAGCACTTTGTGCCCAGCAGAGACAGGGTACGAGGAGCATCCTCCCTTGTGCAAACTGGGCAAATCAAATAAGGCCACTTAACTCGTAAAGAACCTTTGTCTAGTGCAGGCTTCTCCATCAGCTTCTTGCTCTGGTTTCCTTCTGTTTTCATGAAGATTTGCTTAAGGCTCTATGGCATGTGTTGCTAATTAGCTTTTACAACACAACGATTGCCCACCGCTGAGCGTGCTCTGTCTCCCTGCAGCATATGCAAGCCTTCTACAACCTCACCTACCTGGAGAGGAACGGAAAGGCCATGGACAGCAAACTGCAGACACTGCTCTGGTCTCTCACCGTGTCCATGTTCCCCCTGGGAGGCTTCTTTGGCTCGCTCATGGTGGGCCCTCTCGTTAACAAGTGTGGCCGGTAAGGGGCAGAGGTTCTGCTCGTTTTGCGCTCGGTTTTCCGGCTCCGGACGCAGGTCGCTCCAGCTCACCCAGTCCACCAGCAGCGTGACCATGTCCTACGGTCGGGAACGATGCTCGTCCCGGGCTGCGGGCTGAGCTCGGGCCCTGACTCTGCTGCTCACACCCCCGGAGTAATTTCAGTGCTTTCTCAAAGCCTTAGTTCCCTACTAGGTAAATGGGATTATCATCATTTTCTGCTTAGCTCATTTTCTTGGAACGATGATTTCTTTGAGTTTGAGAGGGGTGTCTCCACTACTGGGACTTTGAAAAAACAACAATCAACCCTATTTCTCTCTATTACTTTGTAGAAAGGGCACCTTGCTGATAAATAACAGCTTCTCCATTATCGCTGCAATCCTCATGGGAACCTCAGAGGTAGCAAAAACCTTTGAAGTCATCATCCTTTGCCGTGTCATCATGGGAATATATGCTGGTAAGTGAGAGGTTAAATGGAAAGGGAAAGCAATAGCAGAATATTCTTGGCTATGTAAAAGCTTGGATTTTTCCCTGTAGGAGGTGGTTTCACAGGCAGCCACACATCTGCATAACAGTTCGGTACCTGCTTGGGTAATAGTTGTCCTCTGCATCTTGCAGAATTATCAGAGGTCCCTGGGGGACAGTGGCAGTGAGGCTGCAAATGGAGGTGTTGTAGGGCAGGATGGATTTGTGAGTGCAGCAATCCATTGCAGTAAATACCTCCCAGCACCTCTGTTTCATCACTTAGGAAACCTGCTGATGGCAATTTCTTTCCCAGGCATCACGAAGTCAATAGCCTGGCTTTTTTTCTCTTTGCCTGAATCAGAAACAGAATAATTCTTCCAGCTGAAGCCATTGGAAACACTTTGGATGCAATAACCCTGTGTGGGAACTACCTGTTCCTCCTGCAGGAGGACTCACTAAAAGTGCAAGTGCAGAGTTCAGGGCCACTGGTTTTACTGCAGGGCTAGTGACAGCTGGGGAGAAGGGTGTGTTTGAGGCACTTGGCAAGGGCTGTAGTAGAGCTATCCTAGCACGGAATAGAGAGCAGCACCAAACGGCCTGGGGCCACATGCAGAACTGTGTTTATTGAGTGCCTGCAGAGCAAGGTGGATTGGAGTGTCAGTTCCCGGGATTTGGTTAGCAAGACTGACGTCTCCAGAGCTGATTAGAAAGCTGGTTAGATGTGCTGTAGAGGTAAATGGAGAGAACAGGAAAGTGGTATGGGAAAACCCTTGTAGTATTCAGCATTTAATATCAGTGATATGAGGCAGGAATGTGCCTAGTCTCGCAGTTTGGTTTGAGATCCAGGCTCCCAAGCTTGGCAACCACTCTGAGCAAATACTTGTAGCTGCTGCACGTGATCCTTTTTGGTTATTTCTAATGCTGAGGAGAGCAATGTGGGCTGGCCATCCTGCAGGCATCGTGTCTGGGAAGGGAAGGCGCTGAAGCAAAGCCTGGCTCTTGGCTCTGCTTCCCCTGGCACCGGTGGTTTTGGGATACCCCCCTTACCCAGCCCTGCTCTGCTGCAGGGATTGCTCAGCATGAGTTTAGCAGTGTTATCTGAGAGTGGTCACTGCCAACATGCCCTTATCAGGGCAATTAAGAGCCTGGTCATAGTGCCAACCTAACTATACCTTGTGAGATTAGTTTTACAATGTTTTCTAATTGTTTAATATTATTTTCCTGAGGCTTGAAAGAAAGAGATAAAGGAGAACTGTTCCTCCTTTAACCCCTAGCTCCTGAAGGCTGGAAACTGTATTAGAAATCCTAGCTAAGAGTCTCACATGATTATGTGGCTACGGAGTTTGTGTTTTGTTTGCCGTGTTTTCCAATGTGAGCATGGGAGATGGTAGAAAACGAAGATTTGTTCCTCAAAACAACCAGTGTCCTCAGTGCTGTTAGAGCAGAAGTACCTCCTGCAGCCACCTGCAAGACAAGCCTCAAACTGGGAAAATGGTATAGAGCAATTACTGGAGTAGCGAATCCTTTA